GGCCATTTGATTTGGGAGAGGGAAGAGAGTTGCAGGCGGCAAAGGGAGGGGAGGAGGGAGAAGCGGTCTGCGATGAGGGCTAAAGTGGTGAGGTAGGGGATTGGGAGGGGTGGTGGTCCCGGGGAGGGGGTGGATGGTTGGGAGGGTTGGAAGGGTTGGGAGGGTTGGGAGGGTTGGGAGGGTTGTGGTGCTTGTGGTGCTTGTGGTGTTGCTGGATCGGTTGGTGTTTTGGGTCGGTTTGGTCGGGACTTTGGTGGTGGTGGTTTGTCGAGGGGTTTCCTGAGGCCGTTTGGTTGGGTTTTGGTGGGTGGTTTGGATGGTGGTTGACCTGGTCTCTTCGTAGGTGCTGCCGTCTTCGTCGCCGCCTTAACTGTTCTTGCCGGTACTGTCTTAGACTCGGCTGTTTTGGACTCTGCTGCCTTGGGTTCCGGTTCCGGTTCCGATGTCCCTTCTCCAGATGTTTCTCGTCCTTCTTCTCCCGTCCTCTCCTCCGTTGGCGTTTCCAGCACCGGCACCGGTAGTTTCCCATGATGCAACAAATAAAGTAAATCCTCAAAAACCTCCCTCACCTCCGCGCTCTGCGTCGCCTCATCATCCTCCCTTATCGTAACCCGCGGTAACCTCGTCCAGTCTACCTCACCCGGATTAACACCATCCAACCTCAACTTCTCCAGCGCCTCCTCCACAGCCTTCGCCTCCGCGAATCGTGTATCAGACAGTAACCTCGCAAAATATGGCGAATGTTCCTTGAGAACAGAGAGATGGACACGAAATCCAACGCGTACTCGGGGTTTAGGTGGGGGGCGTGGTGGTCGGCCTGCGGCTGGTGTCTTTGCGGTTTGGGATGAGGAGGAGGTGGGTTTGGTGGTTGAGCGGGAAGGAGTTGAGCGGGAAGGGGTTGGGCGTGGTTTGGAGGTAAAGGCGGCATAGGCCTTTTTGGCGGCGAGGATTACGGGTTTGGAGGTTTCGAAGGTTACGTCGAGGAGGATGTCGCCGTGGGGAGAGATTTCGACTATTTCGAGGTCTGAAGGGGCGGTGGTAAGCCCGTTGAGGGGTGTGGCCATTGTGGGCTTGTGATGAGGTGGTAGATGGTGAGATGAGTTATCATGCGGCTGATGAAATTGTATTTATCAGGCCCTCCAGGCAACCGTATACGGTGTTGCCCTATTCAGCTCCAAGTTGTTCAAGAGGATCCTTCTCATAGGTGAGTTGCGATGTTCTAATATTGAGGATTACGTGATCAGCCAGAGTTGTCACCGAACTTCACGCTAACATATTTGGCTTAACAGCTGAGCAGAGGAACAAAAGGCATGATATTGTGAGATGAAACTTATCAACGGTGACGCTTCTCTCTACTCACTTGTGATTCGCCTAAATGACACGCCACTATTTCCTCTCATCAACCGGAGAAACAAAAAATGAAAATGAAGTTCTCAAAAGTCTAGATGATGGATCATTGAACAAGCGGCAAACCGTTAGTAAGCCATGAGGCGAAAAATGTTAGTGCAATCACTGCCAGTGACTTTTTTGACAGGTGCGCTGTTAGAGCTGTCAGTTGGTGATGATCAGCAACCGGGAATGCAATTGAAGTCAAGCTTTGGTGAGCGGGAAGCTAGGGATGACGTTTTGTCGCAACTCCACAATTTGACCGAACTGGTACGTGTAATTACCGTCTTGGTATTTCAATATTCTGTACAGCTTCTCGTCCTACTCATCTCATAAATGATAGGAACCCGAGACTTCCGAGATCGGATCTGACACCATGTCTCGCTCACAAGAAAGGAGAACCCCTTTTTCTTTGATCATCTGTTTGCCTGGTGTTCACAGATTCTGCATGTGTTTGCTTGTTTCCAGTCCACAGCTGGAGTGAAACGTGGTGAAAGGTTGGCGTAGTGGCTTCGCCATGGCTAGCAACGATCCTAGGTCTAGCAGTGAAAAATGCAGTAAAAATTAGGTAACAAAAGAGGGCGGCCGAGACCGCCAGTGGACGACCCAAGACAAGCCCACCCCGACCAAGTCTCGCTATCGTGCACTTTGTCGTCCACCACCAGCGACCACCAAGGTCCATGTTCGTTGCTGCCAAGAAATTCGACGTCAACCTTTTCGGCCAGTTTCCTCTTTTTCCGTTTCTTTTTTTTTCTTTCTTTCTGGCATCTCCCCTTTCCCACCATCCTACCTGAAATTCTTTTCTGCCATGCTTATCAGAGCAATGCAAAATTTCTAATCTCACCTCTTCTCGTTTTTCAACCTACAACCAACCTGCTGTCTTGACACCTCGTCGTCGTCGTCGTCACTTTAACCCTGAGAGATAGGCAATGGCCGCTGTGCGCCGTCGTCCCCCAACCCAGTCTCTTGTATCTGCTCTCCAACACCTCGACCCTACCTCTTTCCACACCACCACCGCTACTGCTTCCTCGAAACAAGCTCCCAGAGCTGCCCAAGACACGAAACTGCTGGATGCTTTTATGGGATACCTCTCTACCTTCTTCCACCATTCTCCCACAGCTACGCGACCCACGATGAGACGAGTAACGATGCCCGGCCCGCGGGTCCTGCGCACAGCTATCGGCGGTAGACGCTACCTCCATGCATATGCACGACCCTCGAGAACATCTTCCTCCTCCTCCAAACCAAGCACCGACGAGCTTTGCGACAGCTTCCGATCTCATTCTCTTACCGACCGAACCTCGAAGCGCAAGTTCCACAACTACTTCGTCACCCATTTGCCGTCGTCCTCCTTACACCCCGATTCCCGGTTACAACACCCCCACCATAAGCTTCCCCGATCGGCGTCAGTACCACACAAGCAAGACCCCGGAAGCTCTCCAGCTGCTGTACCTCCCAACATACCCAGTCGCGATCTCACCGTCGTCCGAATTCCCCTACGAAGCGCAAAGCACCATTTTGGCGTTTCCGTCTCCCGTGGCCAGCGCAATTACAATGAAGATACAAACCAGGCTGGTACCATCAGCATGCCGTCATTTGCCAAGCGAGCCCCCATGAGCCTTGTTCGTCGGCAGTCAAGGTCCCTTACCGAGAATACCACTGCCAATAGCTCCTTTGGAGATCCCCAGATCTTCTATTTTGGCGTCTTTGACGGTCATGGTGGAACAGAGTGCAGCGAGTTCCTAAGGGACGAACTACATGGCTATATCGAGCAGGCTGCGTTGGACTTTGGTCTTAGGAGCAGTTTACAAAGGCAAGGCACAAGCCAGGACAGCTTGAGCAACCCAACGGAAACGTCAAGCAATGCGCCCAGGAACAGCAGGGACGCACTCAACCGAGTCGAGATGAAGAGCCCCGAAGAAGTACAAGATCAGCTCAACGTACCAGAAACAAACGGCGACGCCGTTGTCGAAGAAGCTTCCCACGAGCCACCCATGGACGGAGACGAGCCCATACCAGCAGAAGCAGACGAAGTCAAAGCCGAAGAGCTCGAGTCCAGTATTCTGGGCGAATACCGCAACACAGTAGGAGGCTACTTCCGGCGCTTCAACTCCCGCTACTTTTCCGAACGGGCAGCCGTTCGCTCCCGCTCCCACGCCGCCTCCTCCATGGACGACAACACCCTCAAGAACAAGCTCCAGAAGCAAATCGACGAAACCCCCGTCCACACCCCCGTAACCGTCGAGTCCGTCCTCACCTACGCCTTCCTCCGCGCCGACCTCGACTTCATCACCGCCCAAGCCCACAAGCCCGACCCCGACGACCCTCACATCGCCGACCACCCCGTCAACAAAGACGAAGTGCTCGGGCAGCCGCACCTCCCGCCCTCCGGGCACGGCATCGGCGGCCCCGCGCGCTTCAAGGGCGGCTCCACGGCGTCGATCGCTCTGATCGCCACCCCTACGCCCGCGCCCTTTTGGCACCCGGCCGCCCACAGCACTTTACTCGTAGCCCACGTCGGCGACACCCGCGTCTTGCTGTGCGAAACAGCCACCGGCTTGCCTCGTCCCTTGACACACGACCACCACCCCTCCAGCCCCACGGAAACCCGCCGCTTGATGCGCTACGCCGAGTCTTTAATCACCGACTCCTTCGGCGAGGAACGCATCTCCGGCCTCGCCAACTCTCGCTCCTTTGGTGACATGCAATCCAAGCGCATCGGCGTGTCTGCCGAGCCCGATATCATTCGCGTGAACATGGAGCCGGCGGAATACTCGTTCCTGGTGCTGATGAGCGACGGAGTAAGCGGTACGTTGAGCGATCAGGAAGTGGTGGATGTGATTAAAGAAGCCAAGACCCCTGAGGAAGGGGCGAAGCATGTGGTGGAGTATGCGACGGAGGTGTCGGCGGATGGGGATAATGCTACTTGTCTTGTGGTGAGGCTGGGAGGGTGGGAGAGGAGGAGTGAAGGGGGGTTGGGCAGTTTGGGGACGAAGGAGATTAGGGATGCGAGGAGGGCGGAGGCTTTGGATCCGAGGAGGGGGAGGCGGTGATTTCGTGTCGGGGGGAAAGGAGGTGGGAGAGGGTGGTGATGGTTGGTTTTTGTGGTTCTGCGTGGCGATAGATCGTGCTGTAGACAGCGTTTTGCGATTTCTTGCCTGTGACTACGTATCAGTACATAATGATTATTTGGGATGCATAGCATGGTAGGCTGGGAAGGAGTTGAGTCTGAAATATCGAATATGATAAGAGTTCAAAAAGGATCATTGAAGTTCATGAAGCAGAGCAGTGTGAAGAAAGAAAGTTGAAAAGGCTGATGGCGTTGCTTTGAGAGACACCAGGTGTGCGAAATGTATCTTTCACGTCTTTAACTGGCGACATGGCTACGTTAGTGGGCGAGACATCAATTCATGAAATTTTGTAATCGAGTAAAGAAAATACATGACTTTTCAATGTCTTGATGCCACTTTTATCTCTACGCATCCTCTGCGTTTTGTTCACACCTACGTACGTTGTGGATGAGAACGAGTATACCATTATTTGCGGTTGAAAGGCAAGTGAGTGGGGTTCATGAACCAAAATTTTGAGGTTCCACATCAACCAATACAACAAGCGGTTGTATAGTGTAGCGGTTATCACTCCGGATTCTGAGTCTCAAAACTCATTAAAGAACATTCCGGCAACCCCGGTTCGATTCCGGGTACGACCTCTTCTTTTGATGTTTTTTTGTTCCTTTTTCCATTACTCTAGCAGCGTTGCTTAGCTTCGTTTTTGCGATAACGATTTCTTCTGTTCCTGTTGTCGTTTTTATAGCTCTGAAAACTCCTGCGCGTCTTTCGGGTTTGTCCAACTTGACGGGGGTGTGTAACTTTTTGTCGGGACTGACGATGTCGTGCGCTGTGCCTACCTGATAACCCCGCGCAATCTCTTCTGGTACGGAAGGTATAGATAAAGAAAATGCAAGGACGGAGGCTACGAACTTTGAGAAAAAAATCATGAGGCTTTAGGAAGGAACACCAGAACCACAAAAATGCGAAAAGGTTCATAGTTGTTCAGAAAAGAAGGAGCATATGCACTAACAACATGATGCCATGGTTGGGGACGACGGCTTTTTCATGAATGCCCGTCACAAGCTGTCCTCCCCAGGTCCTCGGGGGTTTTTGACTTTTCTCGTCGGCTTCATCTTCATCTTCTTCTCACTCAACTTTATGCCATCGTTTCTGTGCAATCATCCTTTGCGATCATCCGTCGACTCTTTGATTAGATCAATTAGTTCATTGTTGGAAGTCCGCTCCCAGCCCAGCGCACGCCGCCATCCACTGGCATCACTCACCTGCGCTGCGTCCGTTTCGTTCGGTCTTCTACCAGCGTTGGTTTTTTTTTTTCCTTCCCCTTCCATTAGACACTTTCAATACCAAGCCCCTTTTCATTGTCGTCGTTCATTCATCATCATCCATCGTCTACAATCAAACTCACACACACGACTTGAAGTCTTTCGCTGCCCATTTCCCTCACCTGCCTGACGGTGACAGCCCGATGGCGGCCAAAAGCGGCTTTTCTCACAGCACTTACCCCACTTCCGCTTACCCCACCCCACTTCATAGAAGAGTTCCGAATTGCCTCACCCAAGCCCAGAGCTTTATGAGTGCTCATCCTAGCAGACGCACAACAACGAGAACCACTCTCAAATCACATGGTTCTATAGTGTAGCGGTTATCACTCCGGATTCTGATATCTTCTCTTCAGAAACATTCCGGCAACCCCGGTTCGATTCCGGGTAGGACCTGATCTTTTGCTTCCTTTTTCTCCTTGTTTCTCTTATGCTCAGCATTTATATCTGAGCCTCATATTCGTTTTGATGTTTTTTTACGTTACCTGAACTCCAGCCCCTCGGTCATGCTGTCATTGGTGCCCTCCTCGTTGGGCGTCCGTCTGTCCTACATACCGGATAAATGTCGTGGAAGCCTGCCCAAGTTCAACCTGGTCTCTCCATACTCTTTCACGTTCATGACAATCTGAACTTCCTCTCTCTTCCACTTTGCTCAATTCTCACACTGCAACCGCGCAATGCGCCTTCTTCTAGATGGCACCCAAACTTTGCGACGTCTGCTCCAAAGTTCCAGTCTGGCTCGACTCCCTGTCTTGGGATACCAGTACATCCACCCGGAACGACCCTACCATCACCCTGCGACCATGGAAAGACATGCAAGCTGTAGCAGATAGACATGAATGCGACTTGTGCCAGATGATTGCCAAAACGTTGGATTCAGCCGACCGTTTCAGAATTGAGGACAGTTTAGTGAACACGCCGTTTACGCTCTCGCGGGAGAAACATTACCGGAGTGTTTATGGTAGTAATGTTTACAACTACTATGCAACTTGCGGGCCAGACGTGAAAGTCCGGGGGTCTGTTTGCACGGCTCCTTTTGACTGGTGTAAGTGACGTTCCCTAGTTCTTGTTCACAGCACTCACTTTCATGTAGGCTCTCGGTTCTTACCCCCGATGGGATACAACGAAAATAATCTAGAATGCAATATTCTGTTGATAAAAGACTGGTTGGACCACTGCCAACGAAACCATACACAATGCCAGAACCCCTCAGACGACTTCCTACCCACTAGATTACTAGATGTTGAAGCCTATAAACCCGGTCAACCCCCCTACCTCGGAAACGATCTCAGATTAGTTTCCCTCGATCCGCGCTCGCTCGGCCATGACCTCCCATCCTATATAACACTCTCCCACTGTTGGGGCCCCCCCTCCAAGCGTCCCGTCACTACCACAACGACAAACCTTTCTGGCCACCTAACCCGAATTTCTTTCCTCTCCCTGCCACAAACCTTTCGCGACGCCGTCGAGACAACCCGCCGTCTAGGCATTCGATATCTCTGGATTGATTCCCTCTGTATTATCCAAGACTGCAAGGAAGACTGGGCTAGGGAAGCTAGCTTAATGAGCAAAGTCTTCTCATATGCGTATTGCACCTTGGCATCACTCAGCTCTATGGATGGGAGTGAGGGGTTGCAGGTGTTCAATGTACAAAGTGACGAGCGTCCGTTCTTTGATATTTCCACCATTGGCCATCGGTATCGTATTTTTGCGGACACGCCAAACCTTTGGTCATGGTCCTACAAGGGTGACTATAGCGGGAATGTTTACGGATTCAGTCCTCTTCGGTTTCGCGCGTGGGTATTACAGGAGAGGGAACTTTCGAGGAGGACGGTGCATTTCAGTAAAGAGGGTCTACTTTGGGAATGTAAGGAGATGAAGGGGACGGCGCAGGTGCCGTGGGAAGATATTGAACGACACCGGCAGGAGCAACCCTACTGGCATGATAAACAACTAGAGGATGAGTGGCATCGGCATCAAAACACTCGACCTGAATCAGCTAATGCAATGCTGTTACAGCACAAGAGTGAGCAACATTGGTGGCGATTGATAGAGGACTATAGCGGGAGACTGTTAACACAGGAAACCGACCGGTTGATTGCCCTCTCCGGAGTCGCGCGCGCTCATCAAGAGGAATACTTCCCCAACGGAGGAGTGAAGTACGGAGCAGGATTGTGGAGCTGTCATCTACCCGAGGGACTTTTGTGGTACGTGATTGACAACGAAAGCAGTCGTCCTGAACAGTATGTAGCGCCAAGTTGGTCGTGGGCCTCTGTTAAGGGTCGTGTCAAGTACGTCAAGGTACCCCTCGCTGATCGCTTCAAGAGAGCCACAGCGCGGCTTACCTCCGAAGAGGGCCAGGGCCAGGGGCAGGGACAGAGACAGAGACAAAAAGAGAGAAGAAGCCTCCACCTGTCCCTAGCGGACCAGGTGAGGAACGAATTAAGAGTGGAGGAGGTAAAGGTCTCGCTCAAATATGATGACCCCTATGGCGCCCTGAACGACGCAACTCTGGTCCTAAGCGGGGCGCGCATGGTGGAAGTCGATTCTATCACCCAACCGTCGGTTAAAGAAACCGGGTTCATGAACCTATACAAAAAAGGGGTGTATGTCGGGTCTGCGAAGCCTGATGTTAGTGGTGGTCCTGAGGCGTGTGGTGGTGGTGGTGGTCTGTTGATGTGCTTGGGGGTCGGCTATGAGGATAAATATGGAGGAGATCTCGACATGATGGGATTACTACTTGTCGAGGAAGAGATTCAGATGAGTGAAGAGCAGCCGGGGCCCCAGGGGGTTACTACCTTTACCTCCTCCGTATATCGCAGGGTGGGGTATTTTTCTTTTATGGGGGTGGAATGTTTTGAAGGGGTAGAACCGAGGAGGGTTATGTTGAAGTGAAGCGGTTGGGTAGTGGTATGAAGGGGGGAATAATGATGAGTTTGACTGGATTTCATGTATTTAATCTTGATCACTGTGGCAGTTATGATACTATTTCCTTTGGCTTGCCCGGCCCCTCGAAGCATATACTAATGAGGATATGGGTTGGTCTGTTTCAAAGGAACCACTACGCGTCATCATACCCCGAGTTCTTCCCATTCTCTCTGTCCACTTTGTTCCAACCGATGGGTGTCTCCTTCAACCAGGCTTTTCGATCTCGGTTGTTACATGCTATGTCATCTTAACCCCCTGGGCTTTCATCGCCCCTTTCACTCCCAGACTTTGCCGTAATGTATATAACCTGCTCAGACATGGGCACGTCTGATCTTTGAAGCAGAAGTACTACGTTTCTCGGGTACCATTTTCGCTGTACCTCTTATGTTGAGTTTTGAGTTCGTAAGTTCTACCTAGAATGTGTGTCTCGTTTTTGGCTATCATCCTGATGCCGTACTAAATCAGTTTAATCCGCCTCGGCTCAACACCATAAAACAACTCCACCTTCATATCAAAGAATGTTCCAACCCGGCTATAGACACCAAGACCCTCCTCCTCCTCCTGATCACTAAAGCCAAAATCACCAGTGGCATCCCTCTCCTTCCTAAGAAGCAGCCCCCTAACCACTTGTTTCTTCTTCCCGAAACCTAAGCTTTCGCTAACCATCCCCCAACACCATAGCTGAGTTTTTGATTCTGTCTCGCCCTTTACGTCAAGGCTGTGGTTAGCTACCCACCGAACGTCTATCTCGAGTCCGCCATAGTGGTATATGTAATCCGTTATATGCTCTGGGTCTGGCTCCTTGATGGTCTCGGTGAACAGTGTTACGGCGACGAGACGGGCGTTGGATATGATGAGGTTGCTATCAGGTAAGAGCGCGCCGTATGGGTCGAGGTATTTCGGGTGCAGGTTTATAGCCTCTACTATCCAATCCTCGCATCCACCATCTTGGGAATCCTGACTTCTTCCCATCAGCTTCCTAACCCTCCTAACGGGATTCATCGGCTCAAACACCACCCTCCCCATAACAGATGCCCACGACCAGCTTGGCGCTACATACCCTCCTTTTTTTCTTGGGTCTGGTCGTCTAGCGTTGATTTTGGCGCTGTCGGCTACTTCCCAGAGTAAGTCTTCGTTGAGACTGGAACTCCATAGCCCGGCTACGTATTGAGCATGAGGGAAGTGAGTATGTTGATAGAATTGGGCGATGCCGGATAAGGCGGCCAACTTGTCGGTGGGTTTGGTTAGTTGGCGTTGGCTGTAGTCGTGGATTAGGGACCACCAGGAAGATTCGCTTTTGTATGTTGAGAGGAGGGATTCCAAGGAGGAGGTAGGGGTAGAAGTAGGGGTATTGACGTTTTGTACCGAATGGTTCCCGTCATGATGGTTAG